AGGATTTGAACCCGGGCCCTTGGCGCTTGTGAGGCAGGCACTCGAACCACTGAGCTAAATGCCTGGCCCCCTACTTATGTTTAAACTTGGATGAGCAGTAAATAGCACCCAGATAAAATAAAATTACAGTGAACATAAGTAGTCAACCTTACTAGGAATAAATCAGAACAGCTGTATAAATACTTTTTTCTGCCATGAAATTACTGCTTTTAAAAATCACAGCCTTTCAATCCCCAGCATCACCAAAAAACTCTCAGCCATCAGCCACACACATGGTGAGCTCCATGCCCAGGTTCCCCTGAGCAGGTCACTGAAGCCTCATAGTAGCTACACACAGACACTGACACCATGCGGTGCAAGCACAACAGTGGTGGGGAATTACAGTGCTGCAGCAAATATTGTGGCGCAAGAGGAAAGAAGCTGAGGTGTAACTAGAGCAGCATAGATGAGAAGGAAATAGAAGTATCATGTACATTTTAGGTGACTGTTAACGATATCAATGGCTAGTGTCTCGCATGCCCGGCACTGTTCTACTTTGTCTGCATGTTAGCTCATGGTGTCCTCTGCACAGACAGTGGCACAGCTGGGCTGCATGGGGGGGCAGGGCATATGCACAGCTGGCAGCAAGGATGGGCAGTGTGCCACAGGACCTGCTCCTGTGCATGGCATAGGTGCCTCTGGTGTCTGAGTTCAGCACAGATGGTAGGTCTCTCCTGGACCCAGCACTGTTCATGAGAACCCTGGAGCTAGCACCCTATTGGCTTGGTAATGGCTTACAGGAACTTGTTATGATAAAAAGACAACATAAAATCAGGTAGTAAATGGTGTATATATCATTAAAGCAGCCCAAGTTGTGCACACATGCATAATCAGGCTTTTCTGAGAAGGGATGTTAGGGACAAAAAGGAACCAGCAAGTGGTGGCTGTGGAGGTGGCTCCTGGCAGAACAACTGCTGGGCTCCCAGAGTGGCTAAGGCACAGTAGGGACAGCCTAAAGCTGGTTGCCCTTGTGATGGAAAAGCACAGGTAGTTCTGAGCCTTGTGTCTGTGTCCCACACCCAAGGTTAGTGGCGTACCCTGTAGAGCCCAGCTGAAGCGTTTCAGGCTCTGTGACCACACAGCCCTGTGGTAACTGTTCAGCTCACTGTTGTGAAAGCCACAAACGGTTTGCAATAAATGTGCACAGCTTGCCGGCCTGAATTTGTTTCATGCCAGTTAGTGGGCCAGCTCTGACAGTAGGCAGGGGAGCCTGTCTCGGTGGTGACGCAAGCGTCCCTACGCTCCAGGTATCCCTCAGGGTGGACCTGCAGTCTGTGGGTGCTGGGTGGGCACCCGGCTAGGTCTGCTTGGAGTTGATGTCTCTCGTTCTCCTGAGCCCCTGCGTGTTGACCAAGAATAACCTCAGCATATACAGGCTTGAGTTCACTTGCCAGAGGAAAATCTTTTGGTCACTCAGATGGCTATTTTTATTTGATAAGGATTTAATAAGTACATGTGATTTTTGTTTTGACTTGTTTTGCCATAGTGAGGATTGAACCCAGATCCTTTGCATTGAGCTATATCCCCAGCCTCTTTGTTGTTTCAAAACAGAGTCAAACAAATCACTGGGGCTCAAACTTGGATCCTCCTGACTCAGCTTTTCAAAGTACAGGGATTACAGGCATACACCACCATGCCCAGTTGATGGTAGTCTTTTATCAGTCATATAAATGACAGGAAAAAGTATCCTTTGGAAAATAACTTGTTTCATTTTTTATTAAAAGTTCTAAATCAGGTTTGGTGTTGCATACTTGTATGCATAAGTTCAAATGCACTTGGGCAATTTAGTGATTTAGCAAGACCCTGTCTCAAAATGAAAAATAACAACGGGATATAGCTCACTGAGAAGGTTTTGGGTTCCATCCCCAGCACCAAAAATAAATTTCTAATTCTTAAGGGATTAAATTGAATTTTCCTTTTTTTTTTTTTTTTTTTTTTTTTTTTTTTATTTTTTTTTTTTTTTTTTTAATTTAAGGTTCATAAAAAAGATTCTGGGTTTTGGCGAGATTTTGGCTTTGGAATGACTTGTCAGTATCGATCAGATTTTCTAACTATTGGTAAGTATGCCTCAAATTTAAGGATAGAATTTTATGTATTCTAGACCATATGGCATTTTTCTAAAAGGTGTCAGATTTTTGAGTGTTTTCCTATCAAATTATAAGTGTCTCTGGTTAGAGACAAAGTGAATTTATAATGTTATTTTATTAGCTAAGATGAGGTCATAAAGATGCAAGTATAATATGAGATTTAGTAGTTCCTTTAAAATCAAAGCACTGCTAATTTTTAAAGACATTTGTTTGTGTTACCATATTTGCAGTTGTTTGGAGTACTCTTAAAAATACCTCCCTATCCAGATATGGTGGCACATGCCTGTAATGCCAACCCTTAGAGGAAGAGGATGAGACAGGAGGATCATGAGGCCAGCCTGGACTACGTAGTGAGTGCGTGGCCAGCTCATACTGCGTAGATCTGCCTCAAACAAAGATCTTGCTGTAACTTTATTGTGCTGCTAGGTTGTTACAGCTGCAGGTTATCTTGGATTATCTAGTTTTAGTTTTAGGACTTTTGTAATTTTTAGAGATGAACCCCTTTTTTATTGTCTATTGGACTGTTACGCAGAATCTCCATATTTAAGACAAAGGAAAAGAGCTGCTCTTTCCAACTTGATTGAAGAGGGAGGTTAGGCCTTGGAGTCACTAGCTTAGATTTCTACCCTAGCCCAAAGCTGTGAGGAAGAGTCTAAACTGCCTTTGTCACCTCCCCAGTGTCAGTCTCCCCACAGAAATAAAGTGCCAGACGGAGACCAGGTTAGGGAAGCAGGCTGAAATCAGTGCGTGTCTCTTGATTTATTTACTCTCTCTCTTTCCACAGCATAAGAGTCATAGAATTTGTCCTGTGTACATTCTAGGCCCATGTGAGGTTTAGTTTCATAGCCATTTGTTTTGGAAATCTCTCCACCTTAGCTATTTATCATAATACATGAGTTATGGAAAATTAGGAAATAATGACAAAAGGCTTACTAAATTAAACTAATTCCCTTTTCCCTGATCTTGCTTAATAAAACAGTGTCTTTCAAAAATAGATTTGGCCAGGAATTCAGCTCAGTGGTTCCCCCGCCTGCCTCGCAAGCGCAAGGACCCACGTTCGATCCCTGGTACCACAAAAAAAAAAAGATTTGTATGCATTTTAGTATATCTTGAGTGCTTGGAGTTCCTTATTTCTTTTTATATTACAAAGTTATTGACATATTCATATATCATAAAATTTATCAATCTAAAATGTACCCATTACCTGGGTTGTGTACTTAGCATCAGTCAAATTCAGAATGTTATCACCCAGAAAGAAATCCCATGCCTGTTTCCAGCCAGCCCCCTTCATCCCCAGACCTAGGCATCCACTAATCCACTTCTGTGACATTGCCTCCCTCTTCCGGGAAGTCACTGTAGTACAGCTATGCAGTCTGTGGTCTCTATCCCTGGCTGCTTCCACTCAGGGTAATGTTTCTACGGTTGATCCATGGTGTAGCATATGTCAGTACTTTATTCATTTTTATAGCCAGAGAATGCTCCTTTGTATAGTTGTGCCACATTTTGTTTATCCATTTGACAGATATTTGGGTTCTTTCTCTTTTTTCAGCTGTTTCATATACTCCAGCTAGAAACTCCTGTGCTTACCTTTTTGTGTAGATGTTGGTTTCCTGTTCTTCTAGCTCTCTACCTAGAGTAGACTTGCTGGGTCACATGGTAATACTGTGCTTAACCTCTGAGAAACTGCTGTGCTGTTTTCCAGGTTTATCTTTCTACCAGCCGGATGTCTCTGCATCCTCATAAATAGCATCCCACTTATCTTTTTGTTTCTAACAGTCACAGTGGGTGTGAAGTGACAGCTCATTGTGTTTGACTAGTTCTTCTGATGACTAATAATGATGGGCATCTTTTCATGTGCTTAGTGCCCATTTATATATCTTGCTTAGTGGAATATCTTCTTTTGCCCATTTTAAATTGGGTTATTGGGGTTTGTTGGGATATATACAATAATATTTTTCATTATTTGCCATTATGTCTGTATATTTTTTCTGCTCCTTTTTCATTGTTCTCTCCCTTTGATTCTCTCATTGTGTGTGTGTCAATGCACCCTGTGGATCCTGCATTTCTCTGAAGCCCAGTTCATTCTCTGTCTGTTCTTCCATTTTCCATCAGAGGCTTGCTGTGTCCATAAATTTGTCTTCACTTTTTCTCTTTCCTTTGTTTGTTCAGATCTACTGTTGAATTGCTCTGATGAATCTTTCGTTTCCTTTATTATACTTTTTAACTACAGAATTTCCATTCATTTCCACATATGTAGTAATAATATGTATGTGTAATATCTGTGTCTTTGGTAATAGTCTCTATTTGATAAGACGCTGTCAGTTTACAATCTGCTACTCTTCAAGCATGAGTTATTTTGATTCTGTGAATATTCTTGTAATGATTGCTTTGGAACCTTTGTCTGTTAAAGAAAACACCTGGCCCTCTTACCACAGTCTCCATCACCTGCTTTTTCTCTGCTGAATGACCACACTTTCCTGTTCTTTGCATGCTGTGTGGTTTCTGTTTTGAAAATTGAAGGGCCAAGGATTTAGCTCAGTGGCACTGCGCCTGCCTTACAAGCACAAGGTCCTGAGTTTGATCCCTAGTACCAAAAAAAAAAAGGGGGGGGTTGTTTTAGGTAATATATTGTGGCAACTCTGGTAACTGACTCTCCCTGCTTCCAGGACTTGTCTTTGTCTTTCCTTATTCCCATATTGATATGCTTGAACGGTTTGGTGAATTCTTTCTCCCTCCTCTCTCACCCCTGCCAATGTCAAGCCTCTGCTGTCACTCTCAGAGCACATGCATTCTCTTCTTGTGTACAGTGCATTTGGCAGGGCTCTCTTGACCTCTTTCTGTGACTTTATTGGTATCACTCTCAACTGTCAGGTCCACTGGTTACTCACTAATTGCTGTCTTCTTTTTGATAATTCTCGGGATATAAATTTCTCTGAGATCTGGACCAATTAATTTGAATTTTTTAAAGGGGTAGTTTGAAAGCAGTCTTTGAGGTTAGTTTGGAGCTGTCTCTCTCTGTGGTGCTCATTGTAACCTAGCTGGCCTACAGTTTAGCTTGTTGTCTTCATGGATTTACCATCCTCCTGTTAAATGCTCGTGACCAAACCCTTTATTTTCAAGAGCCCCCTTCTTGAATCTTGACCTTCCCTATACTGTTTCAGATATAGTCAGTTCTTTTGAAAAGAGCATGGAGCAGTGTGTTCTTGTGGACTTCTCTTCCCTCGGAACAAAATTTCTGAGCTTCTACTTGAAACTGGAAACAACAGTAGTATACTTCTCATAAAGCAAGGTGACATCCCTGTGGTATAAGTGGGTACTGGATAGTAGCAGTAGGGACCCCAGTATTCTCTGCCTACCTGTCTAGAGTAAAGCCTCTGTACTAGTGGTATGTCTAGTGTACTGGTGAGGAAGGTAACAATACCACTTGGGATAGAGGTTGTCCCTTTCTCTGTTTCCTCTATCTATTAGCTTTCCCATTGCTGATACAAAATACCCGACACTCACAACTTAAAGGACAGATTTATATTGGCTCACAGTTTCAAAGGGTTCAGTCCATGGTTGACTGGCTCTAAGACAGAAATATCATGGTGGAGGGTCATGCTGGAGCAAAGCTGCTTAGTTCATGGGGGCTCAGAAGCAGAGGAAGGGAGCAGTGCCAGAGAGGAAGGGGCCAGGGACCAGATATAGACCCCGAAGTCATACCTCTATGACCCACCCAGACCTACCCAGTGTGTGCTTTACTAATCTCTTGATGGCTCTCAAGCCAATCAAATTGACAATCCTGCTTAACTGACACATTCTACATTTTGTTAATTTGTCGCTCAAACATGTCTCTTTAAACCATACTTAATTTCCAAATAGGACAATTAGCAAGTTTATAATTCAGCCTCACATGATAACAACTAGCTATACTACACACAGTTGAAAATGGAATAATCCCTTCCCCCAAAGTCTCAACAGTTCGATACTGCTCAAAAGTTCAAGTCTCCTCTAAGATTCACAGCAAACTCTTACCTGTGAAACCCTGTAAAATTCAAAAAGTGAGTTATTACCAAAATATAATTGTACAGGTTAAACATTCCCATTCCAAAAGGGAGAAAAAGGGATAGGATAGAGGGGAAAAAACAAACAAATAGGATCAAAGGAAGACAGAAAGCCAACAGGGCAAACATTAAGTCCTGTAGTTCCCTGTTCTGTAGTTCCTGTAGTTCTTTTGGGCCACATGATGTGAGATGTGAGGTCCAGGGTGCTTGGACAGCCCTATACCTATGGCCTTCTCACTTGCAACCCACCTGTCCTGTCTTGAGCTAGTTCTGCTCACTGCCTGCAGCTTTCCTTGGCAAACATTCCATGTTTCTGGTATCTCTGACTTCCTGAGTTCTCCACTGTACCTTTAGTTTCGTTTCCACAGCTTCAGCATAGTTGCCTGGGCTCCCAAGCCTTTGTTTGAAATCTTGGTGGAAGAAACAACTGCATTTTACATTTCTGGAAAATCATCACATGGATGATACCAATACAAGGATGACCTTGGACCTTCGCTGCAATAGCCTCTGAGTGTCTGGATAGCTGAGCATGGTGAAGTGATTCCCAGGGAACCTCAGGGAACCAGCACCTAGGCTACACTTCTTGAGCAGAGGGCCTAGATCCTCTGTTCTCAAGTGAAAGGTTTATACTTTTGCACCTGTAAAATAATGACTGGGGTTTTGCTGATTCCTGAGATGCCCTCAAGGTGGCATCTTTACATGTTTCAAAATACTTGTTGACTTTTTTGGGGTACTGGGGAATTAAACTAGGGACCTTGTGCTTGCCAGGCAGGCATGGTGCCTCTGAGCTACATCTCCAGCCTTGTTGTCTTTTTAATGGCACTAGTCTTTCAGGAACCATACCTCCTTTAGCCCCAGGTTTACACATGGTTCCTTGATGGGCCAAAATTTAAGATTTCAAAATTTTCTGCTCTGCTCTTTGTTCCCAATTCTCACTATACATCTGGCTAAAAACAGCCAGCAATACCATGCCACAACTTAAACCTTGAGCTGCCTTGAAATTTCCTTTGCCAGATAAGTTAGTCTGCCACCTTTAAGTACATGTTCAGGCCACCTGCCTCGCAAGCACAAGATCCCGAGTTCTATCCCCGGTACCCACCCCCAACAATAAATAAATACATGCTCAGAGTTTTAGGACACAGGCAAAATATAGTCAGTTTATTTGTCAGAGTGTAACACACATGGCCTTGAGTCCAATTCTCAATTGAGTCTTCCTTCCCAAATGAAAATTAATGAAGCTGGCCTTTACTGTCTACATTCCTATCAGCATTCTGGTCTTCTGAGCTCCAACCAGAATTGCCTATTATGCTCTGCTTATGGCATTCTAGGGCTTCTCTAGCCACATCTTTGAGCCTTCCTAAATATCTTCTGCAAACCATTTCCAATAGCTGTACCTACCACCTATAATTTAAAGGAGGAGAGATTTATTTGGCTCACAGATTCAGTTGGTTCGGTCCATGGTTAAGGAGGCTCCCAAAGGCAGAAACCTGGCAGATGGGTGCAGTAGAACAATGCTGCTTAGTGCATGGCAGCCAGGAAGCAGAGCAGGAGAACAATGTGGGCTGAGTGGAAGGGGCCATAAACCAGACATAGTCCCCACAGCCATACCTCCATCACCCACCCAGATACACCCAGTGCCTTCTAGTAATCCCCTGGGTGGCTCTCAAGCCAGTCAAGTGGACAGTCAAGCTTAACTGTAACATTCCCTCATTATATACATGTTGCACCTTTTGTAGTTTTCCCACAGTTCTTGGATATTCTGGTTGGTTTTTTGTTTTGTTTTGGTTTTTTTTTTTTTCAGTCACTTTTCTCTTTGAGGTTAAGCTTTGAAGTTTCTGTTGTCATATGCTGAAACACAAAGATTCATTCTTCAGGTATGTCCAGTATTCTAACGAGCTTATCAGACACATGTCATTTGTTACAGTGTTTTTTGTCTATAGCATTCCTTCTTAGAATTTCCGTTTTACTTACATTTTACTCATCTTACATGTTGTCTACTTATTCCATTAGACATATTAATCATATTTGTTTTAAATTCCCAGCATGATAATTCTAACATTTCTGCTGAATCTGACTCTGGGTCTGGTGTTTGCTCTCTTCAAACTGCCTTTTGCCTTTTACTTTTTCTGTTGTAAGCTGAACTTAAGGCGCTGGCTGGATGGGACTGTAATTCACAGCCTTGGGTGACGTGGGAGGTAGGGCGAGGGGCATGCTGCAGCTCAGACAGGTCCAGTATTTACAGAGGCTGTGTCCCTGCAGGCCCACCCTTCATCCTGCACAGGATGGCTTGTGGAGCCGGTGCTTCCTTCCCGCTGCTCAGTAGCTCCTAGTGATGTGGTTTCTCTTGACATGGAGCCTTGTTGAGAAGAGTAGGATGTCCTGGCATGTTTCAGAATGGCTACCTTTCCCTGTCCCTTTCCAGAATTGTTAGAGGATTTTTCTTCTTCCTTTGGGGTCACTTCTCAGTCTGTTTTGCTGATTTGTCTATGCCTCTGTCTAACCTCTACACATTGGCATTTCTTAGTGTTTAGGCTTTGCCCTTATTTTCCTTCTGAACTTCAATAATTTCATTCATTCCTGTGGCTTTAAATCGTGTATTCATCCCTTTCTAAATTTCTGTCTCCAGCTTGGCCCTCTGTTATGTTTTCCCCTCTAGCAAGTTTTCTGCAGCCCAGGAAAACTTGTGTCTCAGAGGATAAAAGAATGAAAATGATGAAACATTGAAGGTGGTGATAGTATAGGTGATACATATTTCCTTCTCCTTTACTGACTTCCTACAGGCCTTGGAGGTTTGCACCATGTTCTCAGATTGTTAACCTTTTGCTCATGCTCTCAGCACCCAACACTGAGGTAGCTGCTGAAGGATGTCAAGGAGCAGATGGGCGCCGTGTGGTTCTCTGCATAGGGCCAAGCCACTGCACTGAGGCAGAGCACTTGAGTCAGTCTGATGCAGGCTTGTGCTCCAATGGCCGGGCAGCCACTGACAGTGTGCACTTTGATCCTGCAGGTGGGTTCGACATGGAAGTGAAAGGCTGGGGTGGAGAAGACGTTCACCTGTATCGGAAGTACTTACACAGTGACCTGATTGTGGCCCGAACGCCGGTTCCTGGTCTTTTCCACCTCTGGCATGAGAAGCACTGTGCAGATGAGCTGACACCAGAGCAGTACCGCATGTGCATCCAGTCCAAGGCCATGAGTGAGGCCTCACACTCCCACCTGGGCATGATGGTCTTCCGGGAGGAGATCGAGATGCACCTTCACAAGCAGGCCTACCGGACAAACAGTGAGGCTGCTGGGTAGCACTCAAAGCACATCACACAGCAGTCTGACCACAAGCCAGCACTGTGGGTTTAGCCTTAATTCCTCTTTCAGATCCCATGCCTGTCCTGGAGAAGACATGTTTCTCGTATTCTTTCTGATATTGTCTGTGCTGTTCACCATGTTACAGGAAGAAAAAAATGGGTGTTTCAGTGCAAAGCCTGCTCTGTGATGTACAGTGCTGCGGAGCAGTCAACAAAGGAAATTAATGTTTGCCCTAGAAGCAGCCTCAGGTCTCTTCGTACCTGGGGCTTGTGTTGCAATCTCAGGATTATGTAGCGTGGTTGCATCAGGTGGGGGTGGGTGTGCAGGTTGCTCCACCTGCTCACCAGCATGTCAGTTATCCTGCTTCCTTTTTAAACCACAGCTTTGGTAGATAGCATGAAGAAGAATCTTTTTCACTGAAGCAGTGGGTAATGAAATGCTGCATCTGAAATCTCACCCAGTTGACAAGATAGAAATAAAGCTCCATGACCTACTGTTGTTTAGCTCCCAGAGGTCTGTTCCTAAGCAAATGGGTAAAAAGTACAAAATAGATTAGAATATAAAGTATATATCACCTTGTTCTTGATTAGTAGTCCGAGTTGCTGTTAGCTACTTTGAATGAACAGAAGTAAATATGGAAATATTTTTAAAAGAGCACTTGATATGTTGATGTGCAGGCTACCAGCTGTGTCCAGAGCAGAAGTTTCTATGAGCCAGATAGATACATGGGGCCTTCCTGAGAAGGTGCAGACCCAGCACACCAGCAGGGTTTGGTCTCTGCTTTGCCTTTCCTCATTTAGCATGGATTCATTTATATTTACTATCCTTCATTTTCTAATACACTAATATTTGCTACATCTGTATTTGCATTATTATAATACTTTGAGTAGAAAGAGCATTTCACTGAGGGAGAAAAACAAATGAGGTATAAGATCAGTCTGATGTGAGAGAAAGGAAGGCAGTCTAACAGAAGTGAGAATGGTGGCTTCAGAGAAATATTTTCCCTGCAAACAGGATGTTTTAATTTACGTACTACATCAGTGTGACAAGATGAATAAGAAATTATGTTCAGATAGGACTTTATTACATTATTTATCACACATGGGATTTTTAGCTTTTGGCCAATTGCTCAATCCAGCAATTGGGAAAAAAGGTGAAAGGTATGCATAAGCTTTTATAACCTTTACCTTTTAAAAGTGACCTGCTATTTGTATATAAACCCCTCAAAATTCACAGGAGAATAATTATTTCTTTTTGCTCAGTAAATCATATTGCCTGAAATGTTACAAATTCCAAGTTTCTAGGTGCTACATGAATCCACTTTTATAATAATTATTGTTACAAATTTTAAGTTTGGGGAGTATGTCTGAAGATGTATGAGAGTTCTCTCCAAAGTATTACAGGTCATTGTCTCCTTTTGTATGCAGCTATTTATTATGAAGACCAGTGAATTACAGTATTAAAATGAAAGAATAATTATTTGCAGCGGTAAGTTGCCACTTGCCTTTATGGGAGAATCAAATGATTTTTTTCTTTACTCCTATTTTTTTAAAGTAGCTTATAATCTAAAGATGGAAGTTAGCAGTGGAACTATTTACTGTGTTTTTGACATTAAATGGTACTAATAAAGTATTTTATTACCAAAAGTTAAATGAAAACATGGTAAATTAATTTCTGTTATGCCATTATGTACTTGAAGAATAATAAAGCAAATGCCAGTACACCACCACCCAGGTGAAGATACAGGCTTCCCAGTGCCAGCCCCTGCGCACCCTTCTGGACCACATAGCTCACCCTCTCCATGGTAGTTGGCTTGTGTGATGTTTCCATTTGTCTCCTCTTCATATTTTTCCCCACTACTTATGTACCTGTTTAATATACTGTTTAATTTTGCCTGTTTTTGAGTTTATATGCATCATTTCATTATAGTTCTCTCTCAGTATTAAGGTTTTGGGGTTCATTCATTGTTAATCTCAAAGTTGGTTCCCTTTATTAATGTTAGTCCAGTAGTATTCTATTATGAATATACTGTGGTACTTTAAAATTCTATTTTATTGATAAATACCTGCGGTGTTTCCAGTTCTTTGTTATCCTGTCGTCTGTGCTGTGCATTTGCTGTCACAAGAGTGTGACCAGAAGCCACCTGCACTTCTCCAGGAGTGGGAGCAACCACGAGGCTCTCACCTTTCAGCCTTGGCAGTACCCAGTTTCATCAGACCTGTTGATTCCTGTCAATTGAGGGAGCTATAGAGATTAATTATGGTTATAATTTGCATTTCCAATCTTTCTGCCCATTTTTACCAGTTCCTAGGAATTCTTTACATACTCTAGATACCAGTTCTTCCTGGTTAAATTTTTGTAGATATCTTCTCCCAAGACGTTCATCTCTTCCCATTCTGATGGTACTTTTTGATGAACAAAAATGAATGTGGATAATCTTTTTTTCTTTATGATTTCCACTATTTAAACTAAACTTTAGGGCTGGGGACTTAGCTCAGTGGTTCTGGCGACTGCCTCGCAAGTGCAAGGGCCTGAGTTTGATCACCGGTACCAAAAAATAAAAAATAAAAAATAAAATAAACTTTATTTTTGGAACATTTTAAGTTCAGAGCAAGATTGAGCAGAAGGTACAGAGTGTCCATAATAAACAGTGTTCTTTTAACCATGGGTTTACTCTCTGCATTTCAGTTAACTATGATTGGAAAATATTAAGTGGAAAATTCCAAAAATGTCTCATAAAACTTTTTCTTGTTACACTAAATTCCATTGTCTGTTAGACCAGTTTTCCATTCACCTGCTCATGGGTACCTTGGTTGCTTCCCACTAGTGGGTTCTTGTCAGAATGCAAGTATTCAGCTCCTTTAGGTGCAACCAAAGAGAACTGCTCAGTTGTTTTATAAGAGGCTCCCAAAGGGTCTTCTGGATATGACTGTACCACTCTGAGGTCCACAGCTGTGAGCAGGTGGTCCAGTCTACCTCCTCACAGCATATTGCTGGCATCTGCTCTGTAATTGCCGTTCAGATGGAGCCCTAATGGTAGCTCACTGGTGCCTTGGTTTGCATTTCCCTGTGGACATAACTATGGGGCATCTTTGCATATGTTTCCATTCCATCTGTGTGTCTTCGGTGAGATGTTGGCTTGTAAATTTTATTATTGATCACAATCTCATAATAAGGAAAGGTTTCTTAAAGAAAATGTATATTCTAAATATCTCATAAATAGCTTTGTTCCTCTCAGATTACCCTAATGGAGAAGGGTTTTGTGATGTCAGGTGAGTGTTGAATTCCACTTTCCCAGCACTGCCTTATGATGGGGTCTGTACTTTACCCCTGCAAGTCCTGCCCGCCTTGGCCAAGCACCTTATTCCTGAAAGTGACCATGGCTGTCACAGCCTTTAAAGTGTCATATAAATGTTAGAATAAACTTGTTTTTCAAAAAAAAAAAAATTTATGAATATGGAATCTCACTGAGTCCATAAGGTCACTTTAACAAGAACTGCATCTGTATGATGTGGAGTCCTCAATCCCTGAACGTGACATGTCTGTCATCTTTACTGTCTTTCAGGTAGGGTTGTAGTTTTTCACATAGTGGAGTTACATGTATTCTTTTTCGATTTTTTTTTCTTGATAGCATTGTACCTGTCTTATCAGTTTTTATTGTCTCTTGCTGGTGTTTAGAAATCACTGATTTAAAGAAAAAGAAATCATTGATTTTGCATGTTAATTTTTGTATTCAGAAACCTTCCCAAAATCTCTTAATTGCAATGATGTACAGTGGTACCTCAGTTCATGAATACTTGTTTGCAAACAGTTTGGTTCACAAACAGAAGTGTTTGGCAAAGTTCTTGTTTTGTTTTTGAGACAGGGTCTGTGAGGTTCAGGCTGGCCTTGAATTTGCAGCAACCCTCCTGCCTCAGCCTCCCAAGGGCTGAAATTACAGACATGTGCCTCCACACCCAGCAACATATAGCAAAATTTTGTTTTTGTTTGCATACTCTTCATTGGGTGACAAACACAACTGTGGCCATCTTTCCCACATAAACGCAAGCATCTTTTCTAAAATCATAGAACAAATTTAAGTTTGTGAACCAATTACTCTATTTCTAATTTATTTTGCATTTTTTTTTCCCTGTTACACAGCCATAACATATCTGAGCCTCGTTTTTCCATTTCTCCATTTTCAATTTGTGAACCAATTACTCTATTTCTAATTTATTTTGCATTTTTTTTCCCTGTTACACAGCCATAACATATCTGAGCCTCGTTTTTCCATTTCTCCATTTTCAGACACTGGGTTTCTGTTCCTTGCCTCCCTATACTCTTCCACATGTCCTGCTGTGACAGTGGCCATGGGACAGTGCTCATGGGGCAGGACCCATAGGACAGAGCCTAAGGCATTGCTTTAGCACCTCATCTGTGAGGACTGTTTGCTGAAGCGTTTGGAGAATAACTTAACAGGCTAAAAGTTTCTGGTTTTACTTGGTGAGTTTCTACTACGCTTAAGAGCATTTATCAAATACCTTTACTACAGCTATAAAGATGATCCTGACATTTTCCTCCTTTAATGTGTGGATGAACAGTGTTACTCATTCCCAGGGCAAACTCTGGTTGTTCACAGTGTTTTGTGCTCACTTGTGTGGCTGAGTTTGGTTTTGCACATGCACACACATTTTCATCTATCTCAGTGCAGTGTGTGTGTGTTACCCAGATGTCCTCATCTGTCTGTGAGGAAGACTGCCCTCCCTTCCCTTTCTTAGTCTCAGTGGCCTTTGTGAAGGTTATTTGAGCTTATAAAACCACCCCAGTGTTCCCCATACCATTTCTAGATGAGCTGGTGAGGCAGATCAGTTCTTCTTTGAGTCTCTTGCGTGCTGCCTGGGCCACCTGGGCATGATCTTTCCTGTAAGAGAACATTTGTGACCACTGGTTCAGTTCATTTACTGATATATAGAACTACTCGGATTTTGTTTTTTCTAGAGTCAAGTTTTGTCTGAAGTGTTTTGGGTGAACTATAATTTTCTAGAAATTTATACTGATACATTTGAAAGTTTAAGTAGGATTTACAAAGTTGTTTACATGTCTTTATTTATTGTGCTATTGGGGATTGACCCCATGGCCTTTGCATAGAGCTCCATCCCCAACCCTGTATTTTGGGTTTGAGTCCTTTGTCAGACTTATATATTGCAAATATCTTCTCCCAGGAAGGGCCCTGTTTTTCATTGCCTTAAACAAAAGTTCTTAATTATAACAAAGTCCAATTCACCGCTTTTATTCCTTTCATAGCTAGAGATTTTAATGTTATGTAACCTTTGCCTATTCAAAATTGTAGGAGAAACGTTCATGTTTCTTTTAGATACTTTCTTGTACTGACTTTCAAATTTAAATCTACAGTCGATCTGGAAATTTATTTTTGTTTCAAGGTTTTAGTTTTATTAGTACATGTTTCAGTGCATAGTGATATCATTCCTTATGGGGAACTGGAAATTCTTTATGAAGTCAGCTGTCATGCGTAAAGACTAACAGCCAGACAACAGGCAAAAAACCTATAAGACACCTACAATAATTTACTAAATCAAGCTGCACTTTTAGATACATTGTCCACACTGGATTGCAATAACTTTGTGCTCTTTCTCCCTTTTCTCTGTTTATTTTGCATTTTACGTGTGTATTGAGTTTATGGAAATAACATCTGCACATGAGTTACAGGAGGATCCAAGCTGATCTCAGACCCCACCTCAGTTTGCCTGTAAAGGTCTTCGAGTCTTCATTCAGGCACTGTTTTCAGAGTAGTTGGCTGTTCTCTTCAGCTGCACCGGTTGTTGCTCCCACCTCCTGCACTTGGAGTTCACGCTCTGCACTACCCGAGTGGTGTCCTCTGGTCTCCCGCAGCCCCCTCTTCCTGTCTGTCCTCTGCCTCTCTCCAGTGTCTGCACATGGGCTTTTTCTGATTCATCTTGAGATTCTTTGGGCTCCTGGAATTGCCATCTTGCCTCAGTTGTGGGGAGTCCTCCGCAGTTGTATGCTTGCGTGTTGTCTCTGCCTGGCCCTTCCTCAGCTCTGTGTCATGGACTGAAACTGTCACTGCAGCCTCCACACCTCACGCCCGAGTTCTTGGCTCTGTTCTGTGTTGTGTAATGGTAATTTCTTCTGAATCATGGCTAAGCAGCTTTTGAAAAAGTCAAATAGAACTTGTAGAAATAAAAACTGCATTATTGAATGCTTAAAACCCAGTGGGGAAGAATAACAAAAGATGAGACAGGACCAAGGAGAGCTTTTTAAACCTAGAACAGAGGTCAGATATATGCTTCTGCTGGGTGCTTGGGGACAGGGCCAGTTCAAGGCCACGCCAGACTGAATCTTCTGCTTAAAATCTGGTACAGCATGATTTGTGCTGCACAATCTTGTGAAGCCCACAGCCAAGTTTCAGCCCACACAGTTCCCCTAAAGCCCTGCAGTGGGCTGGGGGCACAGTTGGCTTCAAGCTCACTGTCACGCCAAGGGGTGTTTCCTTGGGTGCCAGTGTCCTCCTCCTCATATCCAGCAGGTCCCAAGTCTGTTGGGTACACATTTCATGGCCTCTTCCTTGCCTTCCTGGCAGTATTAGGACTTTTTTTGGAGGATACAGAGGGACTCTGTGTTAGACATGATCTAAATTGGTTGTGGGTAGGTTGCAGGGTGTGTGTTTAGAGAGTTGTTTTATGGGCCAGGGATTTAGCTCAGCGGTTCGGTGGCCTGCCTTGCAAGCGCAAGGACCTGAGTTCAATCCCCGGTACCAAAAAAAAAAAGAAAGTTGCTTTAGGACCAGGGGATGTACCTCAGCGGCACAGCGCCTGCCTGGCAAGTGCAAGGCCCTGAGTTCAATTCCCAGTACCAAACCCAAAAAAAAGTTTTAAATTCCAAATTTACAGGAATTCTTCCCCCAGTTAAGTTTGTGGTCGAATTTAACCACAAAGTGGCTCTAGTGTGCTTTTGCCTCAGCACCTCAAGTGTCCTTTGAGAGGGCGCTTGTAGTCAGGCTTGCACCCTGTTCCAACCCAGTACAGAGGTGAGGACAGAGGTGACTGTCCCTGTTTAACTCTGATCAAGTGGAGTGTGAAGACCTAAGTGATTCATGCCAGTGACAGGCCTCAGGCCCAGAGCTCACTCCATATTCACAGCTCCAACCCTGGCCTGCTCGGCCTCCCTGGAGTGTGAGGTGTGTGTCCAGTCACACAGATCTCCTGCAGGGGTCTGTTTCCCTGAGTGAGTGAGGCAGGAGGTGACACTGCCACGGAGGAACCAGCTCCGCCCAGGAGGCCAGACCAATGCAAAGGCGAGGTACTGCCAAGTGCGTGGGAAGGGGCAACCTGGGCACAGCCTCCACTCATGGGGGAGCCGGGGGAGGCTGGTGTGCTGGTGAGTGCCAAGGAATGTCGGGAAGTGGGCTGCCTGGTTCAGTGGGCCAGTGAAGTATATTGGGGCTTCCCACCCACCCCACTGGCACTGCAGGGATGGGTGTTCTGGCCACTCTGTGACTCCCAGTGCCCAAAGGCACTCAGGACCAGTGTTCCGGGCAGTGCAACCACAGGACATCCTGCCACGGCGGACAGCTTCCTGCCAGACAGCACTGGCCTCTTGGGATGCCAGACACTGATCTCAAGGCCTATGGAGCTGTAGTGAGAGCCTCATCCGGCAAGCATCGCCAGGGGAGATGGACTGGCTGAAGGAGTAAGGCACCAGCTTCCCGTTTCCTTCCCAGGCTCTGGTGCCCTCAGCACATCCTGCTATGTGTGTGACTTACGGCACCCACCATACCAAGGTGCTGGCTAGTCCTATAGGAAAGAGGCCTCTGTTTAGGGGTCCCCCAAACATGTGACCATGCACGCCTGCAGCCAGTGACATCTGGTGCAGTGTGCTCCCGGCCCAGCCCACCAGGGCGACTGCTAGTGTCCCACATTTCCCTTCTTCCTTCCCTTTCCCTCTACCCTCCCCCTTTCCCTCCTGAGCCGGGCCTCACAGCACACAGGAGTGCAGACGGTGGGGAACAACATGTTCTTTTATTGATGCAAGTATGACCAGTCACACAAAAGTTGACATCCTGCATTATGGTACAGCTTTATACTCAGAGATCATCTCCAGATACCAAAACATCAAATTTAGGCTATGTATCAAATCAGGAAAGGAAAGCAGCAAACATGGACACTGTTTGAAGTACTGGAACTGAGACCAAGCACACACTGACATGAGGGCTCCTCAACACAAGGGAAATGTTCTAACTTTGTATCCAAATATATAATCTCAATTTGAGCCTTTCTTATTCCAAAGAGTAAACAGAGCAGTATGCACTGTCCTGTGTAATCTGTCCGGTGGGCAGGAAAGTGCAGACACCCGGGCAAGTGCAGATCAGGCCTTCAGAGCCGGGAGAGGACAGGGCAAGGCGCCCCGAGGGAGACAGTCGGTGTGGCTGACCCGGTCAGTAAGGCCCAGGGTTCGTGCTGGGTCACCAGGGGACATGGGTAGGTGCCTCAGGTGGGTATGTGGACCCGTCCCGGTTGGGCAGCTTCATGGCAAGGACTCCAGTGGACCTGCCTGGCGATCTTCGGGTTCAGTCTGTGTGCGTTGGCCACTGCACACACACCTATGGGGCTCCTCATCCCTCTGCGCGGTTTCAGGAGCACCTTCGAATGTCATGGTCCCCGAATCCACTCTGATCTCCTCATGATAGCCCAGGGTGCTTTTCAGTTCAAAGCCCTAATGGGAGGCCAGGACTCCCTCCCCTGTTATTTTACATTTGCTCTTCCAAAATACAATTAAAGATGAATCTGCAAGACACAGTCTCACAGAAAACACACTGCCAGGCCATCCCTTTGCCCTCCCTGACCCCTCAATCCCTGATAAAGAAAATGAAAATGTAAACTTTGGAAAGCCCGCATCGAAGGCTCACCGCCCTCCGGCCGCCCCAGCCCCTCCCCAGGAGCTGCTGCCAGGACAGAGCTCGAGCAGGAAGACCGGACCCCAGTACCCTCTAAGGCACTAACCTGACATCAGAGACTGGCTGGGAAGGCGTTCGAGCAGGCAGGGCTCACGCTGCTGCTTTTGGTTGGGTTTCTCTAAATATTTTCTCATAAGATGTTCATAATCAAAAGTAGAAAATAAAACTCTACATTTCATTAGAAGATGCTATCGTGGATACCATCTCCCTTGATACTCTTTCCCCACCCCTCCCCAAAGCAGGGCCCTGCCCTGTTACTCAAAATAAACAAAAATCTTTGTAAGTGCCAAAGGTTGATGCATGAAATAATTACCATTTTCTTTTTCATAAAAGTTATATACAAAATGGACCCCAGCCAGTGAGGCCCCCTGGTCCCAACCCACATCCACCGAGACAGCGTGCATGTGAGCATTGTGGTGTCCGCAGGTGCAGTGCAGGCATCCCACTCAGGCTCTGTGAAGCAGCGTGGTCCTGGGGGACAGGGCACAGAGGTGCTCAGTCTCCTGCAGGAGCCCCAAGGGCCGGGCCTTCCCCCCGTGCTTCCCAGCCTCCCCTGCCCTTCAGGTGGCCTTTCGTCCCCAGGTCCCTACCTGAGGGCCTTCCAGCTGTCCTTCTCCATGTGGTTCTCAGGGCCTTCACTCTCAAAGGAGGCGATGAAGAGAGCTGAAGGATGGGGAGGCCTCAGCACCCGCACCCCTGGTGTCTGCCCATGTGCCCGGCCATCCCAGCAGGCATCTCCTGAGGCTGAGTGCTGGACTCCAGCATGTCCTCCTCCTGGCAGCCTCTCCTTTCCTGCCTCCTGGCCACACCCACCCTGCACACATACCCTCCTGCTGGTGGCGTAGGAGGCCTTGAGGCCTGGGGCCGGATGGAGTTGGGGTGCTCACCTTCCTCGCTGTAGATAGGTGCCGTGAGTAGGTAGCTCTGAATCTTCTTGTCCTTCTCAAAGGGGCACTCCACCTGTGTCCAGGTCATGAACTCATGGATCTGCCGGGAGATCTCCCAGAACTTCTGAAGGGACACAAGGCCAGCAGGGTGTCAGTCAACCTGAGCTTAAAACCCATAATTAAGGGCAGGGATTTGGGTCTGGGTCCATGTGGCAAACCTGCAGCCACCATGGCCATGAGCCTCAGAGCCGGCCCGGTCCCCAAGGCCCTCTGTCCTGCTGCCCGGCTGTCTGCCTTTCAGGCCCAAGCAGGAGCCACATACCTGCCCATGGCCACTCAGGTTTCCCCAGGCGCCCCATCCTGTCCTCTGCTTTCCCAAAGCCCTCCTGACCCTAGGATGGGCCCCTCCAGCTCCCTGGTGAGGTTGGCACTGAAGTCAGCATCCTGAGTCAGTACAGGTTCCCACGGCCCAAGCTCTGTGACCAGGTTACCCCCAGAGGGCAGGGGCCACACCTCAAGCCTTATAGCTGGAAGCAGCCTGCCCACCCTGACAGTTCAGGGACATGTGGCCTCTGCAGCCGCCATGCTGGGCACCTTGAAGTTGATGTGCCCATTGGGCAGGTGGTTTGTGTGGATTTTGTGCAGGAAGTAGATGTCCTTGACGAAGAGGTTGAACACAGGTATGACGATCTTCTCTCGGCTGCTGTTGGCCGTCTGGGACCGTTGCGTGGCACCTTGCAGGGCCGTGCGGTAGTTGCAGAAGTTGCTGGATGGGTCCATGTGGTGCTGCAGGCAGGGTAGGGTGACCACTGAGCCCCAGACCACCTCAGGGCACCCTGGAGCAGGTGCCTACTGAGCCGGGGCCTTGGAGACTACAGCAGGCACAGCCCTGCTCACACCCACCGTGTCTCCCAACTCTCCCTGGGGGCACCTCGACACCTCCCAGACCCGAGCCGTTCCACAAGCCACAGGCATTTTGCAGAAAGATGGATTCCATTCTCAGACACATCTGGGCAGAGTTACAGATGACCTGGTCTCCCAACTTCCTGGCTGCCCAGGGGACCAAGGACCAGGAGACATTGCCCAAGACATCGCCAGGCTGCTCAGTTTGGAGGGTCCCCTCTGTCAGACTTGACGCCAGTTCTCTGGATTCCCCACAAAAAATAAGGAGTTCTTGGGAACCCACCACCCAAAGGCAGAGTGAAAAGGAAGCCCCAACCCACCCTGGGGTCCTGGGCCATGCAGGATGCTGTGTACGGTAAGGGCACTGCATCCGGAAACCTACCTCCAGGACGTCAAACTTGGCTGTCTTGACTTTGGACCATGTTTTCTTCAGCCGTGCCACAGGACTGAGGTTCATGCCAGCTGCAAGGACAGTGGCAGGGGTCAGGGTCCATAGAGGAGACAGCAGCGCCCCTGCCCGGTTGACCCAGCCACTCACAGATGATGGCCATCATGGAGTTGAAGTTCCCAATGTTGAAGCACTCACGGGCCACATCTATGAAGAACTCCAGCATGCGGGTCCGGTGCTTCTTCTTCACCACCTGTGTGTCAGGCAGCTCAGCAGGGGCACCACCGGACTCAGGGCCTGAGACCCCAAACATGCTCTGCCCTGCTCAGTTTCCTTTGGGGGCCTGAGGACCAGGAAGCTCCCACCCTGGGCCCGGGGAAGGGTGCTGGACACGGGTGCCACTGTCCCTTCAGGAACCCTCATGTGGGGGTCAGGCACTGCCTTGGCCCTAACAGTGGGCACCTTGTGCATTTCCTTTTAAAGTCACATCTTCCACCTTGAGGCAGGTGGAGCAGGAGTTAGGGCCTCCCTGGAGTAGAGGGCCAGTTGCTCACCTGTTGTGATGCTCACCTGGCACACCTCAGTTCTACCCGCCCTGGCACTTACCCGGCACACTTCGGTAGCCACCAGCATGCTCAGGCAGTTGAACCAACTGTCATAGGCCTCTAGGCTGTAGGTCTTGGCCATGTCTCCTCGGCACTGGGGGATAAGGCAGGTCACAGATCCAGAGGACCCTGGCTGGACAGCGAGTCCCATGCTGGTCCTCATCCCCAACCCAGGCCCAGCCATGCCTGCTGAACATGAGCACCCTGTGTGTCCATCACAACCCCCTAAGGCAGGCACCAGGGAACCCTCCACCGAAGGCCCAGAGGGTGCCATGCCCGGCCCACTCACCCTGTGGTTGTCCAGTGAATCCGTGTGGCTGATGATCTGCATCAGGTCCTCAGGGTGAATGCTGTTGACCCTCTCCTGTGGAGACAGTAAAGGAAGTCACCCGCCTGCCTGCCTGAGGAGGGGACGGCACCTTGGAGCAATGCCCTCTGCTCCTGCCACACCAGCCTTCCATGCGGGGGCCACCACAGCACCTGCCACCCAGCCCCTCCATTCCTGGGGCTACTGTACTCCTTGGGCCCAGTGCAGGCAGAGATGCCTGCTACCCTGTACACAGCCAGCAGCCTGTGACACCAGTGTGGCCAGCAGGATCGCTGTGCCTCTGTGCAGAGGGCAGGGCTGGCAGCAGTTGGTGGTGAATGTGGCTGCCTGCCTGGGCAGGGCAAGGCACTGACCAGCTCAATATGGGTCAGTTGCTGGGCCAGCACTAGGGGGTCGCAACACACGCCCAGGATGTCCTTCTGTGCCGCTGGTGGCTTTGCCTTCAGCACAGGCCCCTTGTCCACAGTTGGTGGCCGCAGCTTCTCCCGCAGCTCCTGAAGCTGGCTCCGGGCAGCCAAGGATAGCAGCAGGCTCTGGATCATCTGTGTGATGGCCTTCTTCACTGTGCCATTCTCCTGTTAGTGGGGGACAGTGAGGATGCGACCAGGGCCCGCCCACCACAGAGGGACCCCCACCTCCAGGATGCACCCACCCAGACCTGCATGCAGCCTATCCCAGGCCAGCAGACACCCATGGTTGCCGCATGTGCACCGTTGTGAGAGAGCCCAGCCTGCAGCTCACCAGCTGAGCCAACACGTCAGGGCACAGTGAGGTCTCTCAGAGCCACCTACAGGGCTGTCCCTTGACCTCCCCTTCCCGGGGGCACTGCACACGCCCTCACCTCATCGCACTGGGTGACACGATACGCTATGGTCTTGAGCTCGCCGAGGGCCTTCTCATCCTGGAAGTCATAGGGAAAGGCCTCTGTCCACTCCTTCAGGAGCTGCACAATCTTGGCGGAGAAGGACTTCAGCTTGGCCTGGGCAGTGTGAACAGTAAGGCCCCCGGTCAGCCTGAAGCCAGAGACAGCAGCCATGCCCCTCACCAAGGGACTCCTGTGTGTTTCCCAGCCCCTCGGGTCAGCTTTATCGCTTAAATTTGTTTTCAAAGTCCCACCCCATCACCACCCTGACACAGCACACTGAATTCATTTGCTGTAATTACACATCACACATAAATAGCATGAGTGGAATAACGTTAAACAAGACTCTCCATCCTGTCCCTGTCACAGCAAACTGGCCCTGCTGGACTGGGTTGTGACTGCATCACCTGGGCCACTCCATAACCACCAAGGCCGAAGGATGAGGGAGGACACTGTCCTGCTCAGATGCCCAGGGAGGAGGGCAGGGATACTGTGCTCACTCTGTCCTGCAGGCCAATCAGACACCACGCAGACCAAAACCCTGCCATGCCCCACAGCTCCCCATGAACCCTTCTCAGCTTCCCGCCTGCCCCACCCCAGGCAAAACTGTGATGCCACAGTGCAGGGTAACTGCCTCCTGCTCTGTAAACCTGGACACCATGGCCAGCAGGTGCCCTGGGACAGGCCACCTGCAGCCAGCCACCCTGAGGAGACAGATGGGCTACAGGGCACCAGCAGCCTCCTTTGCAAACCCCAGTGTCAGGCACCTCGGCCACACAGGCAGAGTTGAGGGGTAGACAGAGCAGCTCACTGCAGCCTTCTGCAGGGATGCTGGGCTCCTGGGACCTGAGGGCCAGTGGTGGTTTCTGGGTAGTCTGGTCAGCAGTGCTGAGGACACCTATCATGAGCAGACACCAGCCTGGGGCCACTGCACCCTGGGCTCTGCATGATGTATAATTACACCCTTGCCTCTGCTGGCAGGGCTGCCAGTGTGGAAGAAGGAGGTTCAGGGCTGGCGCCTGGCAGGAGGACTCAGCTGCCACCCAAGGGTGCTAGCACCCACCCTCCCAGCAGCTCCCCTCCAGCTCACCTTCTCGGGTCCAGCCTCCAGCTGCTGCCTCTGCTCCAGGCAGATCTGCCCAACGCGGGCCAGCAGGTCATGTGGAGGCATGAAGACTCGGGAAGTCAGCAGGAAGGTGAAGATGAATGTCCTCTGGGGGGGACACAGAACACAGGCCATACCATAGGGGTGCCTGTACCACCCCCACCTCGCGTATGGCACTGCTAGTATCCCCGAACCCTCCTCACCCAGCTACCACCCTACCTACCCTGTGACCCAGGAAGACTCAGAGGCCTGCAGGTGAGGCCAGCCAGAGGACAAGGGGCTTCGTGGGCAGGGAAAGCCCGGCCAGTGGGGGCATGGCTAGTATGACAGGGGCGGTGTGTGGCCTGTAGGCAAGAGCATCCCCACAGGACTCTGAGTCCATGTGCCCAGGAACTCTGCCCTGAGTGGCCAGGCCTTTCTCAGTCTAGTGTGCCTGCTCCTGGCTCTACCCCCGAGCCTGGGCCAGGTGGACGCGTGGCCATAATGGGCACATCTTCTCAGAGGCCCAGGCCAGGCAAAGTCACTGGCCCTGCATCTCCACACTGCTCCACAGCAGGCAGACAAGGAGATGGTCTCTGTCCCCACGGTGGAGACAGAACTGTGGGTCCTTGCTCAGGGGCTTTCCCTTCACCTTCTAGACCTGGGGACTCATGCACAAAGCAGGCTTCTGGGCTGCAGGCTGGACCTTCCTATATGTCCCTCCCTCACCTCGGGCTGGCAGCCTCCAGTGTCCCCCGGGGCTGTCCCAGCTGCCTAGGCCCAGTGTCACACTTGCTGTTCTGCAGCTTTATCCCCTGACCCCCCAAGCCAAGGCCCCCTGCATCCCTCCCCAGGCCCTGGGCACTCACATCGGGGTAGTAGTCCACAGTGGGGACCAGGTGCTCCATCAAGGCCTCCAGGGACCCGGAGACAAGGCGTCCATCTTGGAAGATGAGGTCCCCAGCGCCACCGCCCCGCTCCCCCATGCCGGGCTGTGCCTGTCCGCTACCACTGGGCCCGAGGATGCCAGAGAAGACCACAGATGTCTGGGGCATAGTTTCCTGGGGAGGAAAAACGCCATGAGGCTTGCAGGGCACTTCGGGCCTCCTCCCAAAAGACTGTAGCTCGTGTGTGTGGTCTGATGAATGTCTCTTTGGCTCCTGCTTCTGCATACCAGGCCTGCCCCTGGGATGGCACCCAGGCAGATAGTGAGTATGAAGAGAAGCGGAGAAAGCCCAGGACCTGGCCCAGGCAGGCAAGGGTTCATGTTTCCATGCAGCTCCCAGGAGAAGAGAGGTCCTAGGCCCAAGGGCAGCTGGGGTCAGGTTCTGCAACCCAAATATGTGGAAGGGGAGGAAGGGACAGTGGTCTGAGGCTTGGGCTGACTACAAATCCAGCCTGGCAATGAGCAGGGACCAAGGGCAACATCAGAAGCTGAGGACATATCAAGCCATAACCCAGGGGTGCTGGTCGGGCTGGGTACGGCACAGGAGGGCAGATCCTGAACACAGAGAAGCCCAGGCCAGAGCCAGAGAAGACCCAGGACTCAGAATGAGAGGAATGTAAGGGACAGAGCCCAGCGAGACCTGGCCACTCTGGTAGGGGCTACAGTGTCCCCCACCACCACCACCCCATGCTGCAGCCTGGCCTCTGCTAGAAGCTCTTAGGAGGCAGGGAACAGAGCAACCCTTCAGGCCTCAATTTCCCCCTGCCCAAGGCAGCAGGTCAGCATCTTGGAAGCCCACTTTCTTGGGTCTCAGGGTCAGTGGGCAGGACCACAGGGTACCATGGTCCGATCACACAGGTGGCCCAGCTTCTGCCTGTCCTGGCCCCACACAGGCCTGAGGCCTTGCTGCCTCCTGCATGGTTGCGCTCGTGGCTCTTGAAGGCCCCCTTTCCCCCTTGCTTGCTCAGGAAGTGGTGGACAGTGACCCTCCCACCTTGTGCTCCATGCTAGATCTGCTGACTGCCCCAAGCCCAGAGCCATGTTGGCTCAGCTTCCCCACTGTACAGGCACAGGTTGCCATCGTGGCTCCGCTGCCCCAGAGGCCCAGGGCCGCTGTAGAGCAGGTGCTTCACCCCATGCCACAGAAGCCAGGGACTGTACCTCACTCAGGCGCAAAGGGCCTGGGCCCCAAGCTCAGATGCAGGAGTGGGCAGTCGGCATTAGAGAGTCATCAGGAAACCCTGGGCTCCACACCCGCAGGCAGCCCACCTCCAGGAGGCCTCCAGGGTAGTACTGGGTGGATCGCGTGAGGTGGGAGCAGCTGTCCTTCCTGTGGCCCTTCCTGTGGCCCCGCGGCCACTCTTTGACCATCTGCATGGTGAATGGTGGAGGTGGCCCCATCACCCCTACCCTGCTGGGCCTGGTACCTCACAGAGGCTCTGACTGTCCCAAAGTGTGTCCCCAGGTGACGAGTGGGGGTACACGGTCCTAACACCCATGTTGTGCAGGGAAGCTGGGTGAGCGAGAGCCATGCCAGGAGGCTTCACCTGGAGCTGTTCCCTCCACATGTTCTTGGCTCTCTACAGCCCATGCAGGCACCCAGACCCACAGCCAACCCCCTGCGATGCTCTAAGCCAGGGATGGTGACCCTTTTAGTGCTTTTAGTGACACACACAGCCCAGTCCACAGGTCAGCAGCTCATGTGCCCTGCCCCCCACCCACCCTGGCCAGGCCTCATTTGTGCTGAGAGTTGTGCAGCAAAGCTGGGTGCTCAGGAGGGCATGCACCAGAAACACCTGGAACATCCCAAGGCCAGCCCAGGAGCCCGATTGGAGTCCGAGAGAGCTGGAACTACCCCTCCCTGAGGTTTTCAAGGGCCTGAGAAGCACTGGCTGTGCCCCGGCCCTGACCCATTGCAGCACCAGACATGGCAGGGCCCAGGCTAGGCAAGGTGCTCAGTGCCCACATCAGGGCAGGCTGCACCCGACAGCCAGCAGCCCTCACAGCCATCCTGTGCTGAAGGGGATGGCAACACCTTGTAATTATAGAGCAGTCAACATGGAGAGTGACTCACAGCCCACCACCCACGAAACATGGGCCACAAGCGGGTGGAGACTCTGAGGCCCAGGTCCTTGGAGAGGGAGGGCCCTCTGCCAGCTCTGGTAGCCAGTCAGGGCCTCCCTGTGTGAGGGCCAAGTCCCACTGCTGGACCTTGAAGGGGACGGAGGTGGCCAACCACCCAGAAGCAGTGCAGCAGCTCCCTGCTGGCCAGACCCACAGCAACCTTTCAGTAGGTGCCTGGGGCAAGAGGCCTGGAGACATAGCAGACACCTCAGCTTCTGAGAATGCTCAGACACCACAACACATACACACAAGGCAACGCAGACACACACACACAAACACACACACACACACACAGGTGAATACAGGGCACATGCAGGTGCACAACAGGCACACCTAGTCACCAAGTCACATGGTCACACAATTGCACACACAAGCACACACTGCACACAGGCTCACATAGTCACACACACACAATAGCCACACACAGGTGAACATAGGTGCACAGCACACAATCGCATACACAGGTGCACACAAATGTGTACACCCATGCACCTACGAGGGACAGCTGTGCCAGAGCAGCAGGGGCCCAGGCTCACAGCCTCTCAGAACTGCAGAGCTGAGAGTTGGTACAGAGCCTTGGTGGCCAAGGGCAGCGACTCCAGGAGGGAGGGAGGTCTGGGGCTTTTCTGAGGGGTAGTAAGCTTCCTTCGCAGCCTCACAGGACATGAGGTGCCAGTGTACTCCCCGCCCACTCCTCATGTGACCCCCCCACATCCTAGGCAGCACAGAAGGAGGCACCTGACAAGCCACGCTGGGCATGGGCCATGTCGCTGCCCCAAGAGGACAGCCAGGCCCAACACGCCAGGACCCTTCTTACCCCAACATCATACTCCTCCCGCTTGTGACCTCCAGGTAGCCCTGGGTCATCTTGGAGAGTGGCACCCAGGATCCTCTGGACCCCAAAATGGCCAGTCCTGGAGACCCAGAGGGCCCAACTATGTCCCAGCCTCGCTGTGCAGGGCCTGCTATGTGTGGCATCTCCATGTTCCTGCTGTCCTGGCCTTACCACACAGCACCTACCTGTCCTAGATGGGCTCCCTGCCCCAGACTGAGGACCAGCCCCATGGGCAGGGTGACACAGCCCTGTGGCCTCCAGAAAGTCTGACTCCTGCACACAGGGGGACAGGCCTGGCAACCTGCCATGCTGGCTAAACAAGCAACACCATGGCACTGTCCCCATGGGCCATGTTGTCATACACAGGCAAGAAGGTGGATGGGGGAGGGTGGTTTGGCATTTGACTGAGCAAGGACTGTGTCCTTGGAGCCCTGGAGGATCTGTGGCACGTGTACTGATGCCACTACCCTGTCCTGTCCCAGAAGACCATGATTCAAGTCTGTCCAGCTCAGAGGGACTGAGGCAGCAATGTGGGAAGGTAACCAGGTGTCACAAACGTCATCTGGCATAGCCAGCCCGGGATGGGCCAGGCCTCCTCCATCCACCTCTCCGTTCCCAGCACTTTCAGGATTCTAGCTCCCTGGGTCCTAGTCTGCTTCTCTGGGAACTGGTGGGAAATGTGGACGCTGCGGTTCAGCCAGCCTTGTGTACTTCAAACATCCACCACAAGGAGGCAGAGTGCCCAGCACGGTGAGCTCTTATCCACAGCAGGGCACACAGAGCCACCTCTCATTTGGGTACACAGCAGGCTGCTCCGCCTGTGATGCCACCCCTGCCCTGCCCTGATGCCCCTCCTTAAAGGCCAGGACCCTCGCGCCCCCTGCCAGAGGGCAGACCAGTGTGAGTTCCCACAGCATCCTGCTTGGGATCCCAGGTAAGCAGCCAGCATCGTGGGGACAGGGGACTGTGTGCATGGGGTGCAGGAGGGGCAGTGTGCAGCCCCTGTGCATTTTGAGGCAGCAACGCAGATTCTATTTTTCAACTCAACAAGAGTGGAGGCTATTTTTAGCTCAGCAAGCTGTAGGCATCGCAATTAGCAGCTGAAGATTGCACCTCCTGCCAGTCTCACCCACCAGTAGGGTCTCCAGGGTCTGGGGGGGTTGGGCAGTGTGGCAACCCAGGTTGACTCAGAGGCACAGGGGCCATGCCAGCCATCTGCAGCGGGGCAGTGACACGGCCGGTTCTGCCAGGGCCACTGCAAAAGGACCTGGCCCTCCTGGGCTCACAGTCTGGTTCCTAGGGGTGGGGCCGGGGTGCTTCTCAGAGCCCTGCTCCCTGCCCATTTGTTCATTCATTCATTCACACACTCACACAGGCATACCGGTGAGGACTAGACAAAGCTGCAGACTAGTGAGGCAGCCACACTGGACTTCCGGCCCCCTCACACCTTGGAGCAAACAGCAGGTACTGGCAACCTCTCACATCAGGGCTGCCTGACCAGGGGAGTCTCAGGGAGTCAGTCAGGAGAGCTGGGCAGGCATGAGGAGCCCTACCCTAGGCATGACGGGGTGGATGTGTGCCCCACTGCCCCTAGTCCTCACCCTGCTTCATGACAGTCCCAGTCCCATCCCTGCCTGGGATGTGTTTAGCATGGGCCTTGGGACCTACTGTGCCTTCATCAGTGTCCTGGGCACCAAAGCTGCTACCACCCTGCTCCCCCTACAAGCCCAGCCTTGGCCCAGGAACTGTGAGAGCACCCCTAGGATCTTCCCCTCCCCAGCCTGAAGCCCCCACTGGTCCTCGTCCTGTCTGTGGCCCCATATGGTGGGCAGGGCCTTGAGTGGTCACCTGCCACAGTGACAGTTTCTGTCCTACAGCTGCCCACTGTGCCCCAGTGGACGGTGAAGCAGATGCTGCCTTTTGGTCCCCTCTGGGCCTCCTTATCTCTGCCACAGCATAGCAGTGGGACCTGCCACAGATGCAGAGTGGACAGGAACTGTCCCTGCTCCTGGCAGGTGGCCATGCCCAAATGCGTGTGCAGTGGAAGGTGCCCAGGGGCCAGGGATATGCCACAGGCCCTTGGGCTCTGCAGGGTGGGTCCTGGGGGCCAGGATAGCTCCTGGGCACCATGTTATCCTCCAGCCCTTGGGCATCAGCTGGCCAGGGGCTGAGGGCTGAAACAAGGTTGCATCACCTCAGGATGCATGACAGGCCTCCAATTACCTTGCTGTGACTCCACAACGGCTGTAAGGCCTCACCAGGTGCCCTCTTCACCTAGGCCAGGCCCGGCGAGTGAGGCCCCAAGCTCTGCAGCAGGTTCATGTGCTGGCTCTCAACGCTCCCTCCTGTGCAGGGTGCCTCACTGGCTGAGGGACTCACCCTCGCACTCACACCCCCAAATGTGAATTCTGCCAAGCCTGGATTTTCTCCTCTTTTCTTTTTCTGTCCACTCAGCTTCTTCTGGCAGCTGCTGGGGGACAGATTGTCATTGTCCACTATAATGGTCCCATTCTTGAGGCTGGAGGCCCAGGCGGGGCAGGTGGGACTTCAGAGGATCCTGCCCTTTCCAGCCTTCTCTCCCCCTCACGCCCTGGGAGGCCAGGGTCGGGCCACCCCAGGGTCACCGCATGTGCGAAACTGGGGGCCTCCCCAAGGCTGAGGTTTCTGGGAGACACTCCCTGGCGAACAGGAAGGCTGTGTAGGCCCCGCCCCAAGCAGCGGCCTGCTCCTGGACTAGCCATCCTCTGCAGACTGGGCAGGAAGTGCTGCTGTGAGTGCAAAGGGCACTGGGCCACATGTGGAG